TATGTGGGGCTGCCCTTGAAGAGTGTCCAGAAATGACAACTGGTATAGAATCCCATGGTAAGAAAATTGACTGAAGTGGGTTGCAGGGGCCATATCACTTCACTCTTGTTCTATCTACAATGGCTTCCAATTTGTTTCCAGGCACAAATCAAGATGCTGGTATTGACTTCTAAAGCCCTATATGACTTGGGACCAGCATACTTCAAGGACTTCCTATTCCCATATAAGCCTTCCTGACTATTACAGTCATCCTTAGGAGCCCTAACACCAGTGACCGTATTGTCAGTGCCTAGATGGGTGACAAAATGACCTCCTCATGTCTGGAATTTCCTTCCATCTCCCTCTATCTTCCATTAGTGCGCGAAGACTTTGTTTCATTTAGCATTTCCTTACTGTTGTTTTATGTATGTATTGTTTTTTACATTAATTTTTAATGTTTAACTGTTTACCACCTTGAGGGCCCTAACAGGGTAGAAAGCTGGAATACAAATGTTTTAAATAAATAATTATTTAAGGGTGAGTTATCAGGGCACCCAATCATCCATGCCATATTCTGTTCATCGGCTAGTCCCCACTGTGTGCTCAGTAACCAAAGTGCTTGTTCTCCAGTTCTTGTGCCAATATATTAAGTCTATGGATGGCAAAACTGGTACCAGTGTTAATTAACTATTAGGTTTCATGAGAAATTAGAGGGTGCCCAAGACACCTTGGTACCTGCCTGAGAAAGAAAAGCCAATTGGCGTCTATACCCCTCACCAAAGAAGTATGTGATTTGTGAGAAACAATAAGAATAAGGATTTCTGGTAGAAAAGCTTAAGGGACATTTGCTTTATATTAAAATTTAAAATGTATTGCTTGAAGATGAATGATTAAGCTTGCTTGCTTAGAAAGTAGAAATGCAACCAGACAGCGAAAAGATAGGACAGCCTATATGAAGAAACTAAGCGGCCAACTGTTAAGCAGAAGTCTTGAAGAACCTGGTTACACTCAGCAATTTGGGTGATAGGAAAAGCACCTAAAATACCTGACTATCCAGTGGAATGATTAACAGTTGAGTAGTTGAAACATCAGATAGGCAGAAGCTTTGCAAAGGAACCAATGTGCTTAATCTTGCATATGTTTATATATTCTTAGTGTATATGCTGACCAGTCAAAGAATGAGGAACCTGGCACTAGGCTCTGACAAACAAGTCTGTCGAAAAAGGATGGCCCAAGACAGGCCTGCTGAAATAGGACATCTAAAAGTCTCTGTTTTACAGGAAGACCTGTCCCTGTTTACGGAAAGACCTGTCTCAAGACGACATTGTTTAAACAATAATGAAACTTGTAGTAGTGGGTCATTGTGAGTTATGGAGAAATGTTAGGAAAGAGTAGAGAAAGTTAATACCATGTTTGGAAGGAGAAGTGAGGAGTGGAATTTGAGGAACAATTATGCGTTCAGGATTCTTGTCAGCCAATGGCAAGCTGCACAGCATTTGTTAATTTCCTTACGTCGGGTCAGAAAATGTATTTAAACTTGCAATTGGATCGATTGGGTGTGTTCAGTTCTCTGAGCTGTGCACCCACTACTTGCAAGAAGTGTATTCAATAAAAGATTATTCTGCTTTATTGTGAGGTCTGTCTCCAGAACCTTTATTGGTAAGAACAAAGTGCATTTCTATCCGATTTACCTTAGAACCATTATTATTATATTTATAATCCATGTCTCTCACTGAGCCTCAAGGCATATTACACAGTGTAAGTTAAAACAATCAATAGGATGGGCTACAAGCATGGACGGCTTCAAAAGGGAATTAGATAAGCATATGGAGCAGAGGTCCATCAGTGGCTATTAGCCACAAGGTATAGATAGGGGCTCTGGGGCAAGCGATGCTCTGTATTCTTGGTGCTTGGGGGGGGGGGCAACAGGGGGAGGGCTTCTAATGTCCTGGCCCCACTGGTGGACCTCCTGATGGCACTGGTATTTCTGGCCACTGTGTGATACAGAGTGTTGGACTGGATGGGCCTTTGGCCTGATCCAACATTGGCATCTCTTATGTTCTTACATCAGATAAACAACACAGTGAAAGATTTGGATTGCAAAAACCCATGGGTTACTTCAAATGCAAGTCTAACAAATTTATGGTGCTATCCTAAGCAGTTAGGCCCTTCTAAATTCACTGAAATCAATGGGTTCAGAAGTGTGCAGCTCTGCTTAGGATGCTGTTTTAGAGCTGCAGTGTCCTATAGACCTTGAGCATGTGAAGCTGCCTCATACTGAATCATACAATTGATCCATCAAGGTCAGTATTGTCTATTCAGACTGACAGCTCTCCATGGTCTCAGGCAGAGGTCTTTCCCATCACCAACTGCCAGATGGTTTAAATGGGAATGCTAGGGATTGAACCTAGGATGTTCTGCATGCCAAGGAGATGCTCTACCATTGACTCAAAGTCCCTTCCTGGACCTTCATCTAAGTACCCGAACTCAAGTCTACTTCTTACCTTTGCAGAGAAACCACTTCTATTTCTTATTTGTAGAGAACCCAATGAACATTTCTATCTCAATGGACTTCATAGCAAAAATAAATAAAAAATGGGAGATGATTCAGTGGATCTGAATTTACATGTTGAATCAAACTATTTTGTAAATCTATAGTATAGATTTTTTCTTCTTCACAAAAAAGAAACAAAGGAATTTTGTTCTATTGCATCTCAAAGTTTGCCTCCACAATGAGTAAGGTTCAGAGGATATCACTGAGAACAACAGACAAAAGAGTTTGCCATTATTTGTCAAATGGCAAAGTAGTCAGAAGGTGGCAATTTTCCATTCTGTGAAGTGTAACAATGCAAGCCCTGGAATGTTTTGCTTGGTTGTCATGGTAACAGAACTGTGGCATATGGAATAGAGGCCTTGATAGCAAGATAGTGGAGCAGTTTTTAAAAAGATGTTCTTGTCTGATCAATAATGTTTGGGGTAGTAATTTTAGGTACTTTAAAATAAAATCACATCCCTTTATCCATGACATTTTTGACATCTATTCCCCCTACATGCAGTGAAAGACATACATATACATACACCATGCATAATTTATTCATTACAATGGGCGCAGAAGACACACACACACACATGGGGAACAACAGATGCATACATAATTCACGAAGGGAAAGTCTGGAATAACTGGATTTGTTTTACTGGTGCCCTCTAGGTTTCTGGAACATCAATTTGAAGCCCCTGAGGGCGAGAAAACATAGTGATGACACAGTTGTCACAGACCAATCACATGGAGGCTTCCAAGGGTCAGGTCTAGGTCCATTTTATATGGGACCCAGACTGTCTAAACTCTGGTATGAAATAGTCCTGGTCTACAGATGGGGATAGGCACTTCCCAAATCCAGGTTTGGCAGATTTCACTGCAACCTCTACAGTTTCTATGTAGTAGCGTTTTGTTTTCGTTACAAATCACTGCAACAACATGAATAAGATCCCTGAATAAGCTTTAACCCTCATTGTGTGATTTTTGAGTTAAACATCTGGTATATAATCAGGTAACTCCAACAAAATAGTGAGAACAACTTTTTTTTACAAGCTTACAACTGTTATGAAGAAGAGGCTAAGAAGAAGCAAATACAAAACCAACCCAGTACCTTGTAAAAAAAAATTGCAGCCAAATTAAATTAAATGGATTTAGACTAAATTCACTTAAATGAATTCAATTAAATGTATTTATGCTAATTTAAACATATAATCCAACCTCTCTGAAGTGAATGGCAAAACAATCAATTTGAAGGGAGTCAATTACATACCATTCATGGTTTATATAAACATTTGGCTACAGTGATTGCAGAATTTCAGATTTCCTAGGATGGTGATTCATGAACATGATGAAAGATGACATCCTTGACAGTGGGCAAAAGCCATAGAAAAGTAGGTATTCCTGAGTCCTACTGATCAGCCAATAGTATTCAGGCACAACGATATACTTAAGGTACGACTGATTGCAGCAGCAGCAGCAGCAGCAAGACATGCCTAATTTCCAGATTAACAATTTCCAACTAGAAATGTTGTGCAATTTTATGATGAGAAGTAAACTTGTTTCCCTAAAGTGCACATGAATTGTTTCTGCACATAATAAATACATGGTTAACATACTGCCTGCTGATTTGGGGTTGACAAAAAGCTGCTGTTCTTTAGAAGAGTGGCTACGCAAAACTGTAACATGAGGAGATAAATATCATGGTGTTCAGTTTTCATTTGCAACATACTTAATCCTAAAGGTCTGAGCTATCATGTCCCCTAAAATGAGTACAATTTTCCATCCGTAGCAGGGGATCCAGAAGGAAAGGGTAGTTCAGTAGGGATCTTCCACGTATGGAACAGCACATGGAAAGGGAGGAAGCAGTAGAGAACTGGATAATTCCTAATGTTTTCTTTTTAATCACCAAACTATTTTGGAATCTCGTATGCTTGTTTTAAAATGCTCAAATGGCACTGCTGAATATGACAATTTATTTTGCCTCTCTAGAAAGTATAACACACTCACAGAATGAGACCACATGCTAATAAAAAAACCAACCACTTTTTTAATATTTCAGAAATACAGTCTATGAGAAAGGAAATAATAAATATTCTATACTAAATTATAATGTTAAGAAAGATAGTTTGCTAAGATGAAATCAACCACACTTTGGGTTTTCAGAAGCTGTCTTTCAGTCCATCCTGGAGACCTGGAGTGAAGTGCCATCATTCGGGTTTCATTCAATGCAGTACAGCCAGTTTGGTGCAGTTTAAGATCATTTGGTGCAATAAACATATTTGCTTTCATAATAGCAGAAGCGGCTAGCTGACATTTCACAGCATGGTCACCTAAGATTAATCTTCAGGCATTGGCAAGACCAACATCTGGCAATACACTGGGAATGAGCATTGCTGGAAAAGCACCATGGAAGCGCCCATCAGCTGCATTTGGCACTTCAGACTTGCCTACAACTCTGCTACTTTCCTTCAAGGGAGTCCTCCATTTAGGAGTGCTTCCTCTTCTTTATTGCTTCTGCTTTAACAGCCAAGCTCTTTGCGCAAATGGTCAGAATCACAATGAGGACTCCTACTAGGAAGGTAACCACTGGCCAAAGGAAGCAGTGCATAAGAACTGACTCATCATGTGTACGTCGTAACAGTACATCATCTGGCCTGTAACAGAAAAACAAAACAAAAGAGGGAATGAAAAAGAAGGCAGACAGTCAATTACACAAAACTATATTGTCGGAAACCTTTTAAGAAGTGATCAAGAGAACTATTTCATTTCATCCACCACCATTTGCTTGTATATTGCTTTATCAATTTCTATTGAATTTTCCTTGTGGTGCACAACTTAATAAAAAAAGATACAATCGATTTAAAAAATTCAACAATTTACAAACAAATACTTAATAAATATTTATAAAAACAACACAACCGCCCAGAACATCTGCCATAAACATTAAAATGCACTTTTCACATATTCAAAGGTCTTGCAACCTTTACAAGAACTAAATAATACAGAAAACATAATCCATAGCACAGGTTTTTGAAATTTTGGTTTTGGCAAAGGAAACCCTAATGAAAACAAAAGTGTACTTGAAATGCTTGAAAGCAATGTCTGCCTTAAGAAAGTGCCTTTGAAAGTACACCATGCATGCTACAGTATATACACAGAGTTCCTGAATCTAGGTGCTACCCCATTCATTTGAATAGATGCAGCTATTAAAGGAATGTAGATGCACAACTGCCTTCTCCATTGGATGGAATGGGGAACCCTTGTAAGCAGAGGAGCTCTATAGTAATGCTGGAGTAAATCAGTGGGTGTGACATTCTAGAAGAAGAAGGAGAAGGAGAAGAAGAACTATTATTTATACCCCACCCTCCACTCGGAGTCTCAGAGCGGCTTACGATATCCTTCCCTTCCTCTCCCCACAACAGATACCTTGTGCAGTAGGTAGGGCTAAGAGAACTCTGAGAGAACTACTCTTCAGAGAACAGCTCAGAGAGTATTGTGACTGATCCAAGGTCACCCAGCTGGCTGCATGTGAAGGAGTGGGGAATCAAACCCGGTTCTCCAGATTACAGTCCCCTGCTCTTAACCGCTACACCAAACTGGCTATCTGTCACTAAAATAGACCATTGCTGCAATGATCTCAAAAAATGAGCTCCAGATTCTGACAGAAGAAAAGCTGTGTGTGATTATTTTTGTAATCATCACAGACCCAACAGTAAAATGTACCACATCACCCATTTTGCATCAACTGCATCCAGACCTGAGTAATATAGTCTACAATATTGTTCAAGACAATTATCTGAATTTGACAGTCAAACTGTTTCAACCTCAGATAGAAAATTTGGAAAAATGATTAGCCAAGATCATTCCCTAATTTTAACAAAAATTGGGAGCAATTGGACAAATGATCAGCATGATACATGACAACGCTAGTTGGAAATTTCATAAAACTCACGAAGTTTACCACCATTGAAAATGAGTCAACACATGGCTATTCAGACTGTACAAAATGTTCAGTAGTGTTTTTTTAACTACGGCTGCAAGAATTATCTATGCAAAATATTGGAAATTACCGGAGATACCAACAAAACGAGAACTAGTAAATAAAATCTTGGAGGCTGCGGAATTGGATAAATTGACTTTATTGATAAAAGGCGCAACAGATTCGACATTCCAGAATACTTGGTCACGGTTCTATAATAGGTATGATAAACATATGTAGGCAAGCTTGCAAGAGACAGACTAAGAGTTTACTAAATGAAATATATACCTGTTTGGATGATAGAGACAGAAAAGTTGCTTACACAGTTCATGAGAAATTGTTATTAAGGTGCAATAGGCTTCAGTATAAATATTGGTAAAATTGAAAATAACCTCCATGTATCTGTTTGTACGTTAGTATGTATGTATATGTATGTATATGTTATGATTGTTTGTGTATGTTATGTGGAAAATGTAATAAAACCCTGCCCCTTTGGGGGCAGTCTAAAAAAAAAATGTTCAGTAGTATCTCTGGTTCTGGAATACCGAGAAACGGATGCCATTTAAAGGTCAAAAGATTACCATTCAGATTACAAAACAAAACATTTGAGACAGCAACTGCTATCTGCTGGGATATCACTTTGGATTAGGGTTGCCAAGTCCGGCGTTGCGCCGCAGCGGGGGACTCCTGGCTTGCGGGTGGAGCGTGCGCGCACAAAGCGCGTGCGCACTGCACACACGCCACCCGGAAGTGACGTGACGATGCCGGGCACGCTGGGGGCGGGGCCACGACCATCCGAGGGGAAAACATAGAGTTTTCCCTCAGATGACCATGGCCCCGCCCCCAGCGTGCCTGGCATGGTTGCGTCACTTCCGGGTGATGCGCACATCAGGGTGGGGCTCCCCCCTGGGGCCCGATCCACCGGCGGCGGGGAACGGGCCTCTGGGGCAGGGTTTTCCCCGCCCCCCGGGGGGACTTGGCAAGCCTACTTTGGATCTGAAAAAGATCATTAACTCCCTTAGCAGAGGAAACCAAGAAAGATGTGAACCCTGACCCAGGCCACCGTGAGCAGGCCTGTGCCTCAGCCAAACCAAGATTTCACCCACCATCTTGGGCCCACAAACAGCAATTGCTAAAAGCTTTAGTTAGAACAGGATGCCTCTTATTGATGTATGGATTTTGTAGGGTACATTCTTTGTCCTCAGATGACCATGGCCCCGCCCCCAGCGTGCCTGGCATGGTTGCGTCACTTCCGGGTGATGCGCACATCAGGGTGGGGCTCCCCCCTGGGGCCCGATCCAGGCCACCGTGAGCAGGCCTGTGCCTCAGCCAAACCAAGATTTCACCCACCATCTTGGGCCCACAAACAGCAATTGCTAAAAGCTTTAGTTAGAACAGGATGCCTCTTATTGATGTATGCATTTTGTAGGGTACATTCTTTGTCCTAAGTGGTTTGGAACAGCAGAATACCAGTGCAATAAAAGCTATTAACCAGCACTCAGTTAACTGACATGCCTGTGGAGACTTAGGAACAGGGGATCTTGTAAACTCCTGGTACACTGAGGACAGTTAACACAGTCCATATGGTAAACACATGGCCACCACAAGGACTTTGCATCAGACATGCATCTGGAGCTGCATTTTGTGAACGCTATTTTGAGGCATGCAAGGAACCAGTTTGAATCAGGGCTGTGGTGTGCAAAGGGCATCAATGAGTTTATGTCACCACAACAGGGCAAACAGCAGCTCCCTGAGGCTGTTTCAGGTTCAGAAAGCTGCACAGAGAGAAAGGCTGATGCTTGGGCCCAGGTACACTTAGGAACTATTGTATTGTTATTTACACCGTAAGCTGCCTTGAGTTCTCATTAGGTAGATAGGCAGCTCATAAATGTTTTAAATAGACAATAAACAAAAGTCTGTAAAAGGTCCATGTGGAGGACACATGAACTTTTAGATGTATGAATTGGCCTACTAGCTGTATTGAAAACCCCATGGTGTTCCCAAGCATCTCTTGCACATACCGGCCCTGCTCATTGAAGCACTGTGTGACAGAGTGTTGAACTGGATGGGCCTTTGGCCTGATCCAACATTGGCTTCTCTTATGTTCTTATTTATTTATTTGTTAGATTTATACCCCATCCTCCCCACTGAGGCAGACTCAGGGCGGCTTACATAATTAAAAAAAACAATTTAAAAACACATAAAATCTAGGCAATGGTGGAATAATAACTGAACCACACGTTCAAACCAGATTGTGTGACACAGCATATTTATGAATACACATGATGTCATTATGACCAGCTAACTTTCTTAAGTAAAGGTGCCCCAGTGAAGCAATTTCTTATACGTGTGGGGTGCTGATGCATACTTGTGCTTATCCACTGAATTACTGAAGTCTGGAGCCCCATGAGCACATGGAGCATTTGCATGATGGCAGCATCTGCTTATAGAAGTGGATATGGAAATCCACTTGCACAACAGTCGCACATGTGCTTCGGAGCCTTCAGCGTGCCCACCACCAAACCGTCAACATGGGTAGGAAGCTCCTCAGATCTCTGCTGTTTTACTATCACCAGCCTTCTTCATTTGGCCCGTCCCCCATATGTTCTGATAGCTGCCCAGTCACTTCAACTCTACTATGCAAATTTTAACCATGGGATCCCTGTTTCACTTCCTGGCAACTGGTGGTTAACTGAAAGAGGAGAACTGCAACTAAGATAACAAAATAGAGGCTGACAGATGTTCTGCTCTATAAAATTAAACCCCCTTATTATGGGAGGTCCTTTATCACAGCAGGTAATTATTCCAATAGCCTCAGGATATAACCCAGTAGTCCACAGATGTTCATTATTATATGCTTTCATTAATGAATAATTGCGTACAGCACTTTATCCTGTGCTTGAATAAAGGCAAGAACCACTCAAGTGCAGTAAATAAACACAGAACCTATTTTAGCACAATGGGCTTGCCTGCCTGCCTGCCTGCAGCGGGGGGGGGGGGCGCAATGGCTTCTGCTCCTTCCTGCCCAGAATACCACCACCTGGGGCTTGGCTTCTGCTCACTTTGCCACCTGTGGGTGTTCAGAAGGGAGGTGGTCATGGGCTGGCCTCAGGGCACACAGGGTCGTCCTCCCCTCTGCGAAGTGTAAGTTTACACTGTACATGTGCAGACAATGTATTCTTTTTTGGGGGGGGGGATTTAAAACCCTCCTACATTTTTAACAACTTTTCATATTTTTTGCAAACCTACAGAGCCCCTCAAGTTTGTTGGAAAATTTATCTTAAAAGAATACTTAGAAAAGTATTGGGAAGTAAAAGACAATTTGTTTAGTTTTAATAATTATTAATCATAGAATGCTTGGGGGATAGGATAAGTTAAAAATTAATTACTATAGTGAAATAATAGTTACCTAGTGAATTACAAAAAGAAAATTGTTGTAAAAATTAAGAAAGAGATGGGCAGGAGGTCGAAGCACTGTGGGAAGCCATATATTAGGGAGGGGGAAAGGGAGGTAGGTAGGGTATGAAAGGCACAAATGTAAAAAAATTTAATGTTGATTATGAATGTTTATATCCTAAATAAAAAAAAATTGACAAAAAAAAAAGAAATTTTACCTTAAGACTACACGACCCTGATCTGTGGATTTAAGTGTACACAGATGGAGCCATATTGAAA